GTGTGCGGTGTGTGCGGCGTGGTGCGCGTGTCGTTGTCGTGTGCGATGGATGGATGGAAGGGAGCGTGTCGGGTCGGTCGGTGCGGGACGCGGTGGAGGTGCTACGCGCACAGTCGGGGGTCCGGGTTGCGGTGGCTACGCCTAACGGCGCGGAGGCCGAGATGCACGCCGACAGCGACGATACCGCCACCTGGCTCCGCGACCCTGCCAACCGCCAGCTTCTCTCTAGCCCGCTCTCCGTCGCCGAGCTGCTGAAGCAAGGTGCTCTCTTCTATTTTCGCACACGCACACCCACGCACCGCACACGCACGACCATTTTGTTGTCAAATTAACCCCAGTGGTAACAACGGCAGACAACATTGTGATGGGTTACTGGGGCCTGGTGCTGCCGTCTTCGCTCGGCGGCGTGTCGGACCTTGCGCACGACGCCGCTTTGGGCAACCTCGTCAAGAAGTTCGTAGCCGCCAACAGTAACTATACAAACCTCCTTTTTCTCAGTAGCCGTCCCACCACAGGCGACCAATTTAGCTTTGTGTGTGTGTGTGTGTGTGTGTGTGTGTGTGTGTGTGTGTGTGTGTGTGTGTGTGTGTGTGTGTGTGTGTGGTGCATCGTGTGCGTCGGACACGCAGAGCCGATCTGTGCTGTGGGGTACGGCGTGACAGGCCTCTGCAAGGCCTTCAGCGACAGCGACAAATGGTGCTTCTCTGGCTGGAACCTCACCGCCGTCTCCAACTTTGAGGTGGCCCGGTACCCGTTCTTCTCCAAGCTGCCCCTCATCATCGAAGACTTTGTAAAGGACCACGGCGGCTTCTACAATTGTACCCTCTCCCGCCATCCGTTTTGTATGTCGCGTGTCGCGTTTATCGTGTCGCTCGCCAAGCAGCGTCAGAGCTGACGTCTGTATGTCTGTGCGACCGTTTTTAGGCAGCGTGATGGATGCGGTGCACGTGGTCGTGGACCGATCGCTGATCACTGGCCAGAACGACAACTCGACAGCGCTCGCCGTTCAGAACTTCGTGTGGCTCTGCCAGCGTAGCATCACACAGTAACCCGCGGGCTGCACGTATGATAAGCGCTTTCGGCGAGCGCTTGTTGGTTGGGAGGTTACTTTGCATGGCAACATTGTGTGTATGCCATGTATGAATGGACAGTCTTAAGACTCTAAGGAAGTCCTGGTCTCTTGCGATTTACACTTCCAACAATGGGAAACATGGTGGTTGCCATGGAGCTGGTAAACATGCGATGGCAAGAGCGCGCCCTCACCCTCGCCATCGGCCTCTGCAGTCCCTGAGGCTAGCCTCAGAGCGGCCGCAGCACTGGTGGCCATCTGCTGATGCAAGTGAAAGAGTGAAGCCAAGCAGGAGCCCCGTGAAGCGCTTGGTCGCTGTTGCTTACGTCGACTGGAGTATTGCGAACACATTTTCGCTAATGCAGCGGCTTTAATTTGATTGGTACGCGAGTCAGGGAAGCGTGATCGAAGATTCGTAATGTGTTCGCAATACTGGGCGACCAATCAGGCCGACACCTCGGTGGAGAGACAACCACCACACACCCACCTCACAAGCACAACAACACACAGACAGCACTACCATATCAAAAACATCACACCAAACAACAATGCAGTGCGGCAGGACAGGGTCGCTGCTCGTCCTCTTGTCGCTGCTCGCGGGCGTACTCTTTGTGGCCTCCTCCGCCTCCTCCTTCGCCATTGACAATATTCGGGACCTGAAGGGTCTCAACGCCACCAGCCCTGACGCGGAGAACTGGTGCATTGGCGCCAACGGCATCGTGCTGTGCGGCTCGTTGCGTGTGGCGGGCGCCATCGACTACCTCGCGTGGAACGGCATGCAGTTCATCAACGCCGCCGACCACGGGCGCGAGCTGCAATACGCCATCAGCAACCAGTACGGCGAGTGTTACAACCCGACCGAGGCCGGCTCTATGAACGACGGCGCTGGGCCGACGACATCGTCGGTACTGCTCGGCGCCAACACCAACGGCAACATCTACCGCACAGTCAGCAAGCCCGTGCGTAGTCTCCGCTGTCTCTCTCATAGCTGCAACGCCTGTTTGTTTTGGTTTCATTTCGTTGTTCACACTCGCAACGCTACAGGCGTTCTGGATCGCACCGGGCCAGCGGGACCCGAACGGCGGCTGCATCGGAGTGAATCCGACGGTGGTGAGCAGGTTCATCACGTCCAAGCAGGTGAACATCGGAGCCTACGGCCAGTGGAACGCCATCCAGTATCTGCTCTCCTCCTATGTCCCTGAGGTAGGAAATCGGCAGCCTGAATGAACCAGTGTAGTGTTGAATCTTCTCTTCCACTGACGCACCACGCACTCCATCACCGCCACCACCACCACCACCGCACAGCCTCAATCCTTCATCCAGTATGAGGCCCCGACGGGCTACATGCCGCCGAGCTTCAACACGTTCTTCATCATCAATCTGGACTCGGGCCAGCTCATGCGAGTGGGTCCCAACACTGCTGAGACGACCGAGCCAGTCATCATCTCCACGGCCGACGGAACCCATGCCATGGGCGCCTACCTGGCACGCGCGCCTCAATCCACCTATGCGCACTACGCGCGCTTCTACTTTGCGGGCTACACGGCCAAGTGGAGCGTGGTCTACCGTCAGTGGGGCGCTGGCGTGGGCACACTGAGCTTTCAGAGCATCATCTGCGTGGGCTCCCTGGCTGAAGTGCAGGGCTGCATGGTCAATGTGGCGCGCCAGTCAGGCTACATCCACTGCACGCATCCTGGCTGCTGATCAACTCTTTCTTGATGTTGTTGTTGGGCGAGCTCTAACAAGTACAGTATGTTGTTTGTTCTTTTTGATGTCTGATGATGGAACAATGTCATTGCTGATTTGATTGGGTTTGTCTCAATCCATATTGACTTTATATTGTGCAATTACATTGGTTTCATCACCTTTTTATGTTACACTTAGTTGAGGCTATTTTCTGTGTATTTGCCCAATCTGCTTCTGTTAAAGTGGGACAAAACCCAGATTGTTGTAAAACTGCTTGAAACCAAGTGTTCATGAAAAAGGGTCAGTGACCCTTTTTGCTTAGCACAAAAATCAACTATCTGTACAAAAAAGGCCACCATTTTGCTGTTTTTCATGAGGTTGGTGTACAAATCAAGGAAAGCTTGTAATTTCAGAAAATGTACAGAAGTGGAGGATGCTATTGAAGAAGAAATGACAAAGGCAGAATCCCTTTTTATGTACAGATTTACCGTCCAACTGCAATTTCGCCGAAATCTGTGCATTTTTAAGGTCTTTCTTGCATTTTCTACCCATTTTCCGTTCACATTTCTCAGATTATGTGCATTGAACTGGGTACCAAAGTGTACTGATGACACCAATCTGTTTCTGGAGGGTGTGCAGATACTGGTGTTACAGCCCTGACAATCTGTACATGCTGCCAGACAGTTAGTGAAAAAGAGTCACTGACCCTTTTTTGTGAACACTTGGTTTTGAAAGTTGGGGCAGGGGATGAAACCAATGTAATTGCACAATATGGGGTTATTGATAAGATAATTAGAAAATACCACTTTTTTTCACACACACACTAAGGTTCAACCAATGTGTTTACTTCATTCTAAAGAGTTGTATTATTGGAATCATCTCACCAAGATGATTCCAACAAGCCTGTTTTTAGTCCTGGTGCATCATGATTTTTATAGAAGAGGTGTGTGGGGGGGAGGGGGGAAGAGAGAGAGTGTGTGTTAGTGTGTGGAGTGTGTGAGTTTGTGTGTGTGTGTGTGTGTGTTGCACCCTGAGACTTGAGCTTCAAACTTGGGGGAGATTGTGATGGTGTGTGTGTATGTGTTAGGGTTCGCCCTGTTGACAGGTGATGTTCTTGTCGCCGCCAGTGCATGCACCGCACTTGCGCTCCTTAGCATCATCCAACAAGAGATGCTTGTGGATGACATAACAAGCCGCCCTGCAAAAATGATGCCAGCGAAAAGGCCAATAATGATCTTGGTGTTGTTGGACTTACCCTTGGAAGCCACAGCAGCAGAAGAAGACATGATGACGAGAGAAGTGTGTTGTTCTTAGTGATGATGGTAGTAATCACACACAGAGAAAGAAAACACGTGTGATGTGCAAGCGCACCTTCATAAAAAGCGATCCTCCCTAATGGTGGCTGTCTCCCTCCTGGTTTTGAGCCTCTTGCGACGTCGACACTTGGTCTTGCCTCTGGTGGTGCCTCAATCGTCGTCGGAATACCATAGCTTTATGAACCCTGTAGCACGTCCCAGGGAAAGATGACTGCACCAAGACAAGGACAAGCAGAAGAATGCAAAGACTATGATGACGAAGATGAAGGGGAAGCAAGATAATGGAGGACGAGGAGGAAGACGAGGAGGAGGTCGAAACGCAGCACATGCGCAGAGCGGGGAGCAAGAAGAGCAGTAAACCAGAGGTGTCGCAGGGGTCCTTGGTTAGGGTTAGGACTTGCAGTCCGGCGACGTGCACTTGTGTCGCTTGCCGCTGCGACTGACGTAACTGCCACCAGAGACGCCGCTGCTTTTGGTGACACGCCTGGCTCTACACGAGCGACCATGTCCTTTCGCTCGTCTTGACTTTCGCCATGATCTGTGTGCACAGCATCCTCGTCCTCGGTCGTACCAACCTCTCGTGCAAGGGTGACGCGGTCATCAGTCGAGCTTGATTCCATCGCTCCACCGGCGCACCCGAGGCCTGGTGGTGGCGGCGAAACGCTCTGCCCGCTTTCTCCCGCGAGTCGAGAAGCTAGGTCGCGCCGTGGCACGATAGTGCGCACTCGTGGCGCTGGTGTGGATGTGGAGGTCGGCGCTGGCGCTGGCGTCGGCGTTGATGCGGGCAGAATTGGCGTTGGCCGTGCTGGTGTTGGTGCGGGCAGAATTGGTGTTGGCCTTGGCGCGGGCGGTAATGCGGGCAGAGCTGGCGGCACGGATGAGACAGGTGCCTGACCTGCTCGCCTACGCTTCTCGGGTCCCGCAGGTGGCGATTGCAGGCGCGCGCCTGCTCTACTTGTCGCGTCGGCCGCAGACTCGGTAGATAGGCTTACGATTTCGTTGCTCTTCCGCTTTCGCGCCCCTTCGAGTGCAGCCGGGCCCGGAGAGTGCGGACCATATGAAGGTGAGCCCTCGCGCTTGAGGCAGCTAGATTGTGCCGGGGTTGTAGCAGTGGCTCGCTCTTCAAGGTTGGGTGATGCCGACCGGGTCGACGCTTCCAGCTGCGCTGGAGCAGCCAGAACACTTCGGTGACGAAAAACGACGTCCACCACCTGCGAGGTGGGTGTGCGTCGTTGAAGAGAGCAACGAAACACAATGTGAGAGAGCATTGCACGACGCGCGCCAAACACACAGTACCTCCACGTCGGCGGGGTCCAGCCGGAGCGTCGGGGCAAGAACGGCGAGTCTGCTGTGGGGGACGACGTCGTGCTGACAGCATTCGAGCGTCATGTGACCGCCTCCTCTTACGTCCTCCAGGCAAAAGTTCACCCGCCCCAATAGCTCTGGCACGCCTACGCATGGTTGCACGACACGCGGACAGAATCACGTTGTACATCAAAGAGCAACGAACAGCAGGTGTAAAAGTGTGAAGGCTCAGCCGTGCCATCTGGCCTTGGAACCCCGGATGGCCCGTTGAGGCACGGTGACGGAACCATTGCAGCCCACTGGTGTTACAGTAGCCGTAGCCACCGGCCCAACAACGAGCGTTGGTTGGTGCGCCTGTCGGGTCGGCATGCAGAGGAGCACGCTCACGTGGCGAAGCGGTGTTTTATTGGGTCCCAAAACCATGGTTCAACGCGTGTGCTTCCCGCCATTGGGGCCTTTAATTGCCGCCTGAGAAATTTGACTGGCCACTTTGATTCACAACTTTGATTCACAACTTTTAAATTGATTCACAACTAATTCACAACTTTAGCACATTATCCCAACAGCGACAAAGTTCGGGACATTTAAGCATAACCGACCGAGGACGAGAAGATCTTTAACAACCAACAATGGGCAAGATTCTCTCACGTCGGCTCCTCTGTTGTGCCTTTCCGCTTCTGTTGCTGTTGTTGCTCGTCCGGCCTCCACACGTTGCAGCCCAGCAGTGGAGTGCCACCACCCTCTCCCAAGCTCGCACCTGCATAGGGGCCACCTCAGTGAATGGCATGGCCCTCTTTGCTGGAGGACAGTCATTGAGCATTATCAGCTCCGTGGTGGACATCTACAATTCCACCTCCAACGCTTGGACCACGGCCACGCTCCCCCAGAGCGGCACTTTTGTCGCGACATCGGTCAACGGGCTCGCCCTCTTCAATGGTGGGCGTGGTGCGGCCATGACGTACGCCTTCAATTTGTCGTCAAACAGCTGGCCCAACGCGTCCTCGCTGTCCGACCCAAGAGGATATTTGGTGGCGACAGTCAGGGACCTTCTCATCTTCGCTCAAGGCGAGTGGAGCACTGGTGGAATACCCTCCGCCGTGGTGGACATCCTCAATGCGACTTCCGGCAGGTGGACCAACGCCACGCTCTCACAGGTCCGTTCTGGTTATGCAGTCACCACCGTCAGGGCCGTGGTGGACATGTTCAATGCGACTTCCAACACGTGGACCACGGCCACGCTCTCCCAGGCCCGTTATTTAATTGCGGCAACCACCGTCGGGGACCTTGCCATCTTCGCTGGAGGCAACACTTATCCATGGGATTCGGCAGTGGTGGACATCTACAACGCCACCTCTCGAACCTGGAGCACAGCCAAACTTTCCGTGGGCCGCTCCTTGCTCGCAGCGACGTCCGTTGGTGGTCTTGCTCTCTTTGGTGGAGGTTCGAGTAACAATACCATAACGGCTACCGTGGACATCTTCAACTCGTTGTCCAACACGT